AGTACTATAACCCGTTGGTAAACATGTGACATCAACATCTTCATTTAAAATAGTAAGTTTATATTTTGAATGTCTTCTTTTCTTTTTTCCTTGCTTCCTATTAACATTAACTGTTACATTTGTAGTTTTAGCAGTTGTATTAATATGTTGGAATAATTGGCGAAAATAGTCTAGCAAAAATAATGATGTTTTTTTTATCAAATATTCTAGAGTGGAGGGTGTATATGGGTATCTTTTCTTTGTATAATATGTTCTTTTAAATAATGATTGCTTGTTTGTATCTATTTTTTAATTTTATATAAGTTAATAAAAAAATTGCATTTTTAATATAATTATATTTCATACCAAGTATACAAGTCTGTTTAATAATAGCATCAACACTATCATTTGATGATGTATTTGCGCGTATCTGACTGTGTAAGTTTTCAACAAAATAATCATTAAAATCTACAAGAAACATTTTAATTACATCTAATATTGGATGCTCTATATGTTGCCAATAAAAAATGTCTGATAAAAAAGCTAGAGGGGCTTTGTTATAATTTTTACAATTCCATCGCAATGCAAAAGTCCATATTCGAAAAATGGTTTCAATATATTCATCAAAGGAACCTGAACGAAAAAGAACTGCATAGACATCTAGAGTTGATGGAATAACATTATCAAGAAGGTCAATTAACATTCTATATTCTACATTTTTACATATAGATCCAAATTTTTCTAGTATTTTTATTTTTATTTTTAACCATCCTTGGTAAGCAAGTTCAAGAAGAAGATTTATTCTCCATGGTTTGGGTTTTTTAGCAAGAACTTTTCGACTTCCAAAAACTGCATGAAAAAGCTTTTTAAAGAAAGAATAATAGATTATTAGAACTTGCTCCCGACTGTTTAATGAAACATGTAATGGACCTAATATAGGTATAAAAGCATTAATGGATTCTGGTATTTGTGACATTGTATTTTGTTGATATAAGTAAGTTAATGCTTTTCATATGAAAAGTTGTCCAGGCCAGTCAGCAACAATTGGCATTACAAAATCATTTGTATGTTTAATATCTTTATTTATCGAAAGAATCATTTC